CCTCCCTCCCTTCCTCCCTCCCTCCCTCCCTTCTTTCTTTCTTTCTTTCTTCCTTTCTTGGTGTGTGTGGCATATTATATTTAATTCAGGTTGCTTGCATGAACATGGGTAGGGAATTACATAATTGAACAACTTTTGAGCCCTTCCCCCACCAGTGCTGGAATGTTGAAGAGTACAGTCTTGTACATGGAGCCACCGCTCCTGTGAGTTCAACACCCACTTTATGCTGGAGAACAGTGGTTTGTAGCCCTCTTTCCCATCCTCTGGCTCTCACTTTCTTTCTGCTCCTCTTCCTCTGTGTTCTCTGAACATACAATGCATGATAGAGATACGGTGATTAGGACTGAACATTCCATTTAACAATGGCTAATTTTCAGAACCTTGAGCAGTTATGGGTCCCTGCATTAATCACCACCCATTGCAAACAGAAGTTTCTCCTACCAAGATCGAAAGCAGCACCAATCTATGAGCATAAAATAAGTATTTAGAAGACAGCATGACACCGTGTCCACTTAGCAAAGCAGCAGTGGCAGCTCCCCTTCCCTGGGCTCATTCTCTTTCTCACCACCTGGTTTTGAGTGTGTTTCAGTACCAGACATGAATTCCTCCTTCATTTTATCAATGGAAAAAACCCTATTATCTGGATTTATAACCTCTGAACCACAAAATTTTCTATCTCTCATTACAGATGACAAAGCATTAAGATCATATATTCCATACATCGTCTCATCTGCTATTTTTGTTTTGATCGTCGCAGGATGCATTTGCCTTTTGAAAATCTGTGGCTTCAGGTATTAACTGATAATTTTTTTCTTCAATCTTTTTTTTTCCAAGACAGGGTTTCTCTGTGTAGTTTTGGAGCCTATCTTGGCACTCACTCTGGAGACCAGGCTGGCCTTGAACTCACAGAGATCAGCTTTCCTCTGCCTCCTGAGTGCTGGGATTAAAGGCATGCACCGCCAACACCTGGCCTCTTCAATCTTATTGGATTAGAAAAAGCTGAGAAATATGGGTGTGCCTGATTCACTGGGAGTAGCAACAGTGTTCTCATAAGCAAAAGGGACAAGTGGAATGTTAGACTGGTACAACTTTGCATAGTGACAGTGTTTAGTGGACTGCTCAGGTGTGCAGTCACTGTGATTCAAGCCAGGAAGGGCTGAGAATCTGGGGATGCTTATTCTTTTTAATTTGAGAAAATAATTACCATAATTCTTTTCATGTAACAAAGCGATTTTGTCACATATATTTTATTGCATCAAGATTTCACTTTTTAAATCTAAGATTGAGAATTTTCTTACTTTTATAATAACTGTTAATCAGTGTATTCCATTCATTTCTGATTTACTGAAACTCACATAATAGTTATCAGAATATTTAGATGCTACAATTGGTGATTCTAAACAATGATGCTGCTTGCATCCACTCCAGATTATTTTATTTTATTTTTTAGAAAATGTAAATGGACAAGACCAGAAGCTTCTCCAGTTGTTGAGGAGGTAAGATAAATGAAAACATATTTGTAAACTTTAAAGCCGCATGGTTTTAAATCTAGCAACATAATCTGTGATTGCATTAATATTCATGTTTTAGTTGAACAAAAACAATTCTGATTTACACTGTTAGCAGTCAAACTTACTTATTCTGCTAGTTACCTATCAAATGCTATTTATAATCTATCCAATACACTTTTTCAACTGAAAAATTGCATCCTTGTCACCTTTGCCCTATTTGGACTGTAATCTCTGGAGAAATCAAGTAGGTGTTTCCTTCTCCAGGAACTTGTGTCTAACTCTTGACTTCCCCTTTTCAGCACCATCAGTTTTCTCTATTCCAAGCTTTAAACAGCCCGCCCCCTAGTCTCTAGGTTCTTATTGTCTTTGACTCATCCTTTTGAAATACTCCCCACACACCCCATTCCTTTGCATTTCTACTTTTGCCCACCAACCATCTCACCCAAAACATAGATAATCAACAAATGTTTTGACAGATTATTAGAGCAAAGCCTTGTTCACGTGAGTCAGAGATACATATATGAGCATAGTAGATGCTAACATGGTAGAAAAAAAAGGGTAATTTGGGTAATGATTTCTGGCTCCTTTGAATGGATTTTGACTTTGAGCTTTTCCCAAGGATGAAATGCAACCTTATGCTAGTTACGCAGAGAAGAACAATCCACTCTATGACACTGTGACCAAAGTGGAGGCGTGTCCGGCATTGCAAGGTGAAGTCAATGGCACAGACTGGCTTGCTTTATCAGCCACTGAAATCTAGCACAAAGAAAAATGAATTAAGAGACACCATAATTACTGTTTTGCTTTCCTTAAAATTTTATAATGGAAAGATGACTTGGGAATTATCTCTTCAAAAGTTCTTAGAAAGCGCAAATGTTCTAATGGATTTACATCTGTACTCTTCTATGAGTGGAGGTTTGGAATTTTCGCTGCTACCAGTTAGTTCTTGGAAGAACTGATGTAATTATTACAAAGAAAGCACAAGGTTATGTACAATATCACATTGTGCAATACAGTATGATGAAAACTTAATTTCTGCAAGACATAACTACAGAAGGAACAGACATTACTAAAGAGTTTCTCATGAATTCTTCCAGAAAATTTCTCTGTATATGACATGCCTATGGCATATGTGCACGTTTATATGTTTATTTACATATGTGTATACATGCACACATCACCTTGTCAAGACAGCTCCTTGTCAAAACATGCTGGAATGCTGAACTTATAAAAGTTAATAATGTGAGTCTTGGAAATCTTTTTATAACAGCATAAGAAAAACTACCTCATTCTTTTTAATGGCTATGTAAAATTCCACTGTATGATTATATTATAATTTAATTAATCATGGTCTTTGGATGGGCCTTTAGGTTTATTTTGTGTGTGGTATTAAACAATACCAAGTAGAATGTTACTTGTGGATAATCTCTGCATTTTTTGAGCACATTGTGAGATAATTTTTTGAGTGTAATTGTCTTGTCAGTATTTTTATTATCAACAGATTAGTTAAACTGTGTCAATTTACATTCCTTCCAATTGTGTTTGAATGTGTCTTTCTCCATGTTCTTATTCTTGTATCTTTAATATTCTCACTTCCACAGTTTCTATCCCATTTTAATTAACCAGTTGGGTGATGGTGTCAGTGAGTGGGATAACCCCAAGCCTCCAAGGTGCCCAGAGGAAGAGAGGAACCTGCCACCGAAGCCCGCCCTGTCAAGCCACTGGGTGGCATCGGAGCAGCTTCCATACATTCTCAATGTCCTGTGCTCTTGGGTGTTGGACTCGACACTCCCGAGATGGCTTGTAGCCCTCAAGAGTTCTAGGGGTTAGGATTCTGCACTCTCAAGCCGCCTTCCCATGACTAGTCAAGCGGGTAGCTGGCAGTAGTATTTTACAAACTTCCACATAAAAACTTCACAAAAACTTAAAAAGAGATTTTAGAAGCAAAGGAACAGAGACAAGCATGTCTTCTTGGTAGCAGCATTTTCTCGTGGTCTCTGTTTGCCAGAGACAAGCAGAGACTCGAGTGGCTCCTTTAAGAGAGGTTTCCTAAAACACCACAAGGGGAATGACCACATCTCCAAGCCAGCAGCATGCTCCTTGGTGGCAGCATAGACCAAGGCAGTGATTACAGCTCTCAGTCCTGGCGGTAAACTTACCCCGCCATCTTGGAAAGACAGCAGCTAAAAAAGCTGCTGCTTTAACTTTAGCAATGTTGTTTACCAAATAAAAGACAGTGTGTCCAGAAAAAGGTAAAGATTTACAATAAAAACAAATGAATAAAAACCTCTAAAGGTTTACAGTGTGTTTAAACATATATGTATGCTTGTGAGAGAAAAAGAAACAGGAGGAAAGAGTAGCTGGGTGTGGTGGCACACACTTTCAATCCTAGCACTCAGGAGGCAACACACACACACACACACACACACACACACACACACACACACACACACACACACACCACAGGAGGTAGATGGAGGAAAGAAAAAGAGAAAAGAAGAGAGTAAGGGAGGGAAGGGGAAGGGAAGAGAGGAGAGGAAAGAGGAGAGGAGGCTTCAAATAAAGATATCATCCTCCTCTTAATTATTTCACATGAATCTGCTCTATTAATTGCTGTCAATTTCATTCTTTCCTATGGTTTTGATGGATTTGGGTCATGTTTTCCTTAAATAGAACAGCCTGGCATTAGAGAAAACAGCAGGACTTATGGAGCACTTTTGTTGCTATTCTCTCATCAAGGGGCACAAGCTCCTCATTATGGGGTACCCACTTGGAGGCTAGGAAAAGTCTTGTGCAGACTCGTGTTACCATCATCTCATACTCCTTTGTCCAATCAAGGCAGGAGTTAGGCCCAGAAATCTGGTGCCTGTCTTTCCTGTTTAAAGAAAATTAAGACTCAAAATTGGTGAAAAGAAATAGATTTATTTACAGTTTAGGCAAATGGGAGAAGATAAAGTCCCAGTTTCTCTCCCCTTCTCATAAGGCAGCTATCATTTCATAGGAAAGAATAAAACAAAGCTTGGAAATAGTCATGTTAAATTACCAGTGAGGTAAGCTTTCAAAACTGTGATGTCCCTTCCTGGGAGGCAAGACCTTCCTTTGACCGGGCCTGTTCAGTCCTTCCCTTCCTCCTGTGAGGTATTCTTAGGAATTCCCCTCCTCTTCTTGTTGGTGTTTGTATTGAGATCAGGTCATCTTATTTCACCCTTTCTGTCCTGGAATTTGTTTTGTGGACTGTGCTGGCCTCAGTCTTTTCATGATTCCTTGCCTCCCAATGCTGTGCATCACCTGCCTGGTTCTGGGGTCAATTGCCTTAGGCTCTCCATTTCAGTGCTTAGGCAAAGAAAGGGGACAAGCCTCTCAGGCTCTCCCTTTAGACTACATTTCTCCCCTACAAGCCTGAATCATGGGATCAAAGCTGAGAACATCTGGCCCAGTTGTTCCCATTACTATCATAACTAGCATGAAGCCCCTCTTTCTTTGGGGTTCTAATTTCCTTACGTGTATTTCTAAATTATGTACAATTCATACAAAATACATTTGCATAATTTGCTCTTTTAATCTGTCTTCACTCTCCCTTGAAGCCAGCCAGCCACAGGACTTCACAGTTTGTCCTCCTGCTCCAGGAATCTGAGATATACTTGAAAACCGTTTTAGCTAATGTACGTTGTTAGCACATGAGTACAAACACAGCTGGGAAAACAGACAACAACCTGTCAAACAAACAAACACATCATCAGTTGCTTCTGATTGTCTTTTGCTCTACTGTAAAGGCCAAGAGAACTAATCCAGCCTATCCTGCCGAAGAAAGGCAAGTGCAGAGAAGTCGAAAGGCTTCACTTGTCCTGCTGATGCCGTCCTCCTAACTGACAGATAGGTAAATCTCGGGTATGTAAACAAGTCCAGTCAAGACCAGGGCTGTCTAGCCAAGTCCACCTGAGCACATTAAATTCTCTGCTCAAGAAACATAATGAAAACACATGTTTACTCTTTAATACCCAGACTTTAAGGCAATTTGTCACAGAACATATTTGCAGCAATTAAAAAAAATGATATATATAATGGAAGTTTTTCCATGTAATTTTAGTATTTCTTCAGTGTCCCAAACTTGATTTTCCAATGGAAACAAGAATGAGAACCATGGAACAGATGTTTGACTACCAGGAAAATTTCAGAAGATTTTATATTCCAGGAAATGTAGCATACTATCATGGGGCTCTGGAATTTTAAGTAGAGCTTCCATTCTTCTTCATAAATATAAAAAAATGAAGTCAGTTGTTCAGAATAATATTTTCTTTACTTATGAAGAAATTTATGTCACCATAGTATTATGTCCTCTAAATGAAAATACCAGATTTAAAAAAGGCTTTTTATGAGAGGCACATGAAACACTGGTGGTTTGAAATTTCATTACATATGAGTTTTGTAAGCAGGAAAGAAAGTTTCTCATATTCATAGTCTTCCAAAGGGTATCTCTCTCTCTCTCTCTCTCTCTCTCTCTCTCTCTCTCTCTCTCTCTCTCTCTGTGTGTGTGTGTGTGTGTGTGTGTGTGTGTGTGTGTGTGTGTAAGATTTTGTGAATTAGCTAGTTAAATATTACCAGGCCTAGTGGATATTGATACTGGAACTCTCCCTCATAGTCAGCAGTCAGGGGAGCAAACACTGGGACACCTGGCCCTCAGATTCTGGTGTAAAGAATGGGACCTGCGTCATCTTCCTGGCTCTGAAAAGAAATATGACATCTGGCACTTCCCAGATAAGGATCTGGATCTCATTTCAGGAGTTCTAGACATCACAAAATGACTGTATAGCAGGAAGCTTTCTGCTAAAGAAAAGGACTAGCATTGGAGATACGAATCCCTGAGTCAGTAAGAGTCAGCCCAAGCAGGGACCAGCTGGACACCACAAAAACCTTACAGGGAAGTTGTTTATTTCAGATATTTTAAAGAATAACGCAAATCTCACTTAGGATTTAGGCTGGCCATTACTGGCTCTCACACCTTGTTATGTGTACTCTCCTTCACAGCAATATTTGCAGGGAATGAAGGGAGTCCATCCACAGACCCAGTGGCACACTCTCAAGTGTGGAAAGGTGACTATAGTGCCAACTTTGACAACAAACAACTTATTTCTGTGTCCTTGGAAGGAAGTGATTTTCCAAGCAAACAAATGGAACTGGGCACAACAAGAAGTGCTATTGTGCTGTATGGTTGTTGCATCTTTAAATGGCTTATTTTGAAGAAAGGCATGAGGTTATAAAGACAACTTTAGTTCTAGTTTAGATCATCACTCATGGTAACTCACATATATTCAGCCTTCTTTCTGCCAAAAGTTCCAGGAGGAAGAACAGTAATGCTCTGGCACCTTTGGAAGAAAGGTAAAAAGCAATGGATAGGACAAAATTTGTAGGGCACATAAAAGAACATGGCTGCTCTGTGGTCTGCCTTTGAGTATATTTGTCACACAGCCCAGGCTTCATAGATTGTAGCATGAAAACTGTACAAAGAGACTTGTTTCTTGGCATCACCTTTCTTACATAAACTGTTTAAAAGTTTGTTTGGATAGTCAGAAATTCACTTTTTATGTTTACATAATGTTGAAGTTGTTATTTCACGGATAATATCCATATGATGGAACACACACTTGAAATGACACTTTCAAAGAGATTTTAATGCCTTGGAAAATGTTTTATTATATGTATGAAAATATCAAGACAAAATTGCATATGTGTATAATTGAGATAGATGAGGGGAGTCAGTCTCCTCTCCCTGGGGAACAGAGGAGGTATTAAGCACTGATAAAACACTGCAAAATCTGTTTAAGACTGCTGGTGTTAACCATACTGCTCTGTAAGCTGTTCATTTTGCAAGCATACATTTGGATATCCATTCTCCTCTTAATGGACAAAAAAAAAAAAAAAGGTGGGTCAAGGGGAATTTGATTTCCTAACTGGAATTCCTTGTTTCCCTTGATTCTCTTGAGCAAAAAGACTGTTGTCTTTTTGCAGACTACCTTTGTGTGTACACTGATCTTTTTGAATATCCCATAAATACTTAGAGAAAACTACCCAAAAATCATAACTGATTGCTCTGACTCCACAGGTGTGGTCATAGTCAAGACAGTTCCAGATGGGTTTATACCAGACTCCTGGCTATCACAAAGCCTCAATGAACTCTAGATGACCCTACCACCATTTCCATAAAGGACAGAGGGAGTACTTCCTCTAGTAGCCCAGCAGAGAGACTGTTTTGACTAGTGCTAAAGGGACATTGTTGAGATTGTTACAAGCAGAAATCTTCATTGGCATGCGATGTTTGCTTTGATTGCTGCAAATATAGCTCATTCGCATGCATGCTTGGCTGTGACTGGCGTAAATACCTGCTTGCTTTCTTCCTATGTAACAAGTAGTTCAGTCTCACTTGGTGAATAAACTGGGAATTTCCTCTCTGGCCTGCCTCCTCTGGTGTTGCAGTACACGACCCAGATGAAGTACTTTCTCTCAAGTGTTCTTTCCTTGCTGACTTCTATAGCTCAGACTGAGCTGGCAACAAGAGAAAGAGTAAAAGAGACAGCCAAGTGTTCGCAATGTTAGAGGCAGGAGCACATTAGTGCTAGTCGTAACTGAGGAGTCAGAAGGCTGAGCTCCAGAATCACGGGCAGATGGC